GAGAGAAACTGGTTTTTGTTTGAATAATGTGCAAAACTATAATATACTTTGGGGTAAAGTTGACGCTCAAACACTTCCAATTAGAATGTGAGCATCCAATTCAAAATTAATTGACAATGATGGAGATTATTTTTATAAATAAATTAAAATATATATAAAATAAAATAAAAATAAAAGAGCAAGGCTTTCTATTTCTAGTGTAGAACAACACTCTTAACACGCCCCTCACGTGTAGCTTAGCTCAAGCTATACACGTGGACAATCCAAATTAATGTGGATATTGATACCATTTTAGAATGAGGATATTCAATCTAAAATCAATTGGCAATGGGTAAAGAACCAAGATCTTTTAAACTACTAAGGCAAGACTTTTATTTCCGACATGAGGTCACACTCTCAACATGAATATCCGTGTCTCAGTCACTACATATAATTAGAAGTAAGAACTACTAAGTGACTGAATGCAAACACCAATATTGCTAGAATAGAATCCATGACAAGAATGATGAGTGTTCATTTTATATTGTTGCAGGCTTGCAGCAGGGTGTCGAGACGATTTTCAACATTGATTTCCAGGCTAAGATTTGGAGCCATGCCTTCTGCTAATTTGCAAACAACTTCTAAATCTATCCAAGGGCAATTCACTAATTGTTAATTAAATCTAGACCACTTTTATAGGACCTTTTTAAATTTTGTGTCTTGGATATTAATTCTTTCTTTCTCCATGAAAATTTATAGCCATGATGCAGGGGAAGAGTATGCTGATGTCAACTGGGATGACCTCAAATTTGGGGTAATTCCAACTGATTACATGTACACCATGAAATGTTCCAAAGCCAAAGGAGATGACTTTTCACAAGGATATCTCACTCCCTATGGAAACATTGAGCTCAACCCATCTGCGGGTGTATGTTGTTGCATCCAGCTGTGTTTCTAGCTAGCTAGCTTTTCTGTGACATGTTCTTAATATATGGTGTGCCATGATCAGGGCTTATATGAAGGTCTTAAGGCGAACGGGACAGAAGACGGCCGGTTTCTGCTCTTTAGGCCTGAACTTAATGCTTTAAGAATGAAGATGGGTGCAGAGATTGTGCATGCCATCTCCTTCTACTCAGCAATTCATTGATTCTATAAAGCAAACAGTCCTAGCCAACAATTGTAAACTTCTGGAATTTACAATTCAACTACTTAGTTTTCGATATGATTGCACCAGGTATTTTACAATTCAACCACTTTTACCAATCGATATTGATACCGAAACTCAGTATATAAGTGCAAAACATGTTATAAAATCCATTTTATTTATGAACCTACAAAAACTCCTATACCTACCTTTTATTACTCAACAATGCACTAGAACTACTCACCGTACTATTTAGACCCAAATTGTGTCAGTTGCAAGTAATGATGAACTTAAATGTTTTGAAGTCCTCTGCTATTACTACAATTAGTGTGCAAATCCAAGCCATCCATTACAGTGAAGTCAAGTGGGGATATTGACTGAATGGTTGAGATTAGTGCATCTCAAGAACTGAAGTTGAATTAAATTAGACAGGTAGGAGGGAAATTGGGCTAAGACGCCAACTGCAAAGCAGGACTAGTTTTTATATGTAAAACCATAAGGCGCAAACACAGCAGCAGGCAGGCACTGAAGAAGCTTCACGCATTGCTCTCTCGTAGCAGAATGGGAGCCATTGCCTTTGCCCCCACAGCAGCAAGTTATTTCCTAATGTTTTCTACGAAAATATTGTGCAGAAATGGAAGGCTTAGCATGATCTCATATATCTCGCTTCTCCCTCACACATTTCTCTTTGCTAAGGACAAACCACAACAAAACAATTGACTGAGCACTTCAAAGCACATCTCCTTTGCTAATACAGATTAACTTGATCTGCTCCAGTGCCTAGGCTAATACAGGCAGCCCAAATAGTTTGAATAAGACCCCCAGCACACATGACAGTGCCACAATTCACAAATACCACGGGGTCCGAAAAATTACAAAAGCAAATTCATGCATTTGTGTATAGTGTACAGAACATACAAAGGGGAAAGCTTTTTAAAACACTAAATTAAGATACCAATATATCATAGTGACTTGAAGCAATCTATCAATCAGAACCTGAAGGAACTAGGATGCTACTAACTAACTTGTAGACCTTGCAGCCGAGGGCTTCGTCGCAGTGGAAGCTGCCATTATGAGTGCCGACTCGCTTAGCTGAAGTAGCGGTAGCCATGAGAAAGTGAGAGAGGTGATGGTGTGGCTCGGGAAGACGAATGGTAGCGTGTGCTTAAACCCTCACACTTTCCACTTTTAACACTTTGGTCCTGTCGTTTCAAGTTGGTCAATTTAGTTGTGGAGGGGCAGTTCAGTCCACAAACAGCAAAGTCTGCGTGCTTAGGTCTGCGTTTAACGGCAGTCGGCCTAGTATAAGGGCCATGCATGCAGTGCAGGGTATCTAACAATATTTTTAAGCTCTGCATCCTCAATAATGATTGTCCAGGAAGATAGTATACTTGTCTGCAAGTTGTCTTTTTCGGATGGTGATTGTGTTACGGAGGGTAGGGAATTCATCATTTTAGTATGTTTTTGTAGGGCCTCCCTCTGATGACGTTGGCAAGTTATTGCTCACTGTAACTGGTTCTGCCATGAACGCATGTTTTTTTCCTTGAGAGGATTGCCGCTTGGTTGGCACTGGCAGAAACTGACTGAAATAGATTGGGATCAACGTCAGTTTGCTTATTTCAAGTGTTTTAATTGCTTGTCTCTGTCAAGAAAGAAATAAACCACATGTTTTCTTCCCTAGACTAGTGCAAGGAAATGAGTGCAGAAATTATTCACGAACAATGGCTTTCGGGTGGGCAGGCTTGATTTCCTATGAGGAAGTTTTTCAAGGAGTTTAGGCAAGGAATTAGCATCAGGAAGCTATAAGAATATACTATTGTCTGTGGATGTTTCTGATGATCAGGCAGTATTCGAAAAATCGGCCTAGGCGGGGACTGGGCGCTAGGCGGCCGCCTAGGCGGCCTAGGCGGCCTGGGCGGGTCTGACCCAGAAAGAAAACGCCGTTTTGGAATCTCCAAGGTCAGGGACGAAATGATGATGGTGGCTCAGATTTTGGGGTGGCGAGATGAGGATTGAAGAAGATGAGAGGTCGCGAGGAGGGCTGGAAGACGGCTCGTGTTAGACTTGGGCCTCGGCTCGTGTTGATGAGAAAAACAGAAGGAGATATGGGCTTTGAATTGGGCCTCTCTCTCACGTCTTTAACTAACGTAAGTTCTATATGTCAAATTTTGTTATCAATTTGAGCTCTTGGTTTCAGGTGAGGGAGTGAGAGAAGAGGGAGATGTTTGTACTATATTTTATCATGCAACAAGAAGACTCTCTGTCAATGAATAAAATTATTGGTACTATATTTAATTTTAAATATTTGAATATATTTAAAGAATAAAGTCAAAAGTGTATCATTTTTAGAAATTTTTGTATTGTAATATACTAGGTAAATCCCTGCTTCACAAACCGAAAAATGCCGGTAAGAATTCACATCAAAAAGACAAAACCCACAACAATGGGGGTGAAGTAGCTCGTTCCTATTCTATATATATGGACCCGCCTGGGCTTAGGCTCCCACGTGTCAAAGTAAGTATAGTCGGGCGGCTATACTATTTTTTTTAACAAAAAAAAATTATTAAAAAGAAAAGTATCACCGCACGGCTATACTATTTATATATATAAATAAATAAATAAAAAGGACCCGCCTTGCCTTTAGGAGCCCACGTCTCAAGGGGCTATACTTTTTTTTTATAAAAAAACCGAGTATAGCCGTGCGGCTATTCTATTTATATATATCATAAAAGGACCGGCCTTGGCTTAGGTGTCACGTGTCAAAATAAGTATAGCCGCGCGGCTATACGATTTTTTAAAAAAGTTCAGAAATCACACAAAAGGTGCATTGCATTTTTAAAAATTGGCTTTTGTCCTCGCTTCTAAGATTTATAATTTGTATGGTTATTAATTTGGGGATGTCAAGGCATTGCTAAATTCTTTATACGAGTAATAACTTTGGAAAAGTAAAAAAATAAAAAGGGGACAATAGAGACTCGATAAACGAATCATAATAATGGATAATGGTCTAAACTACTCTTATCGATAAACGAAAATCGGGGAAAAAATTTAAAAGAAAAAAAGGATCCCATGCTATACTATACACATTAAGATTTTACCTAAATGATTTTTTTGCTACAATTTGCTATAGGTTTTGAATCAGTAAGCAAGGCTATAGGTTTTGAATCATAATAATGGAAAAATGTTGAGGAGGTTTCTTCATGTAATGTTTTCATTGAGAAGGTAGTACTTATATCAAATGTTCAATTTATGGACATTTCAATATGTTATGTTGTTAAATTGTCAATTTAAATTACGCATCCAAACAAGAATTTCATTTTTGTACAATTCAAATTATGAGTAGGATAAACTCAATCACATTATCATGTGTTGCAGCGTAATGTGGTTTTAACTCCACCGCGACCAATGGAACTAAGAAATTATTGCTTGTATAAGCCAAATTTTTCCACAGAAGCATGTCCTTTTTTAGCCAAAATGTATGCCACTTGATTGGTTTCACCATATGAATGTGATAAAGAACAGTGTACTGAGTCTGACGGCCTGCCTTGCCCCCCCAACTATTTGATTTTTATGTGGAAACAGTGCTGTGTCTGACAGTCTGAGTTATTGTTTTCGTAAGATATTGAGTTGTTGACTGATATCCTTTATAATATAGCGAATTTAGTCATGATATTTAATAATAATATCTTTGCTTACCGATCAATTCTTTCCAGTTATAATTCGAACTCACCACAAATATATATCGTGCTCGCATTCTGCCGAGATGAGATATTTCCAATCAAATTATTGCAAAGGCTAGTTGGTGTACAGTTACTCCATATAAAAGATAGCATCCTGCTGCTGTTTGCACGCAAGCCCCGCCACTTTGTTTGTAGTCTCTCCAGTTCGTAAGTATCATTCTCTCTCTCTCTCTCTCTCTCTCATCTGCATATTCTGTTAAGAAGTGTTTGTTCATTTTCCTGAATCTACTTTTAAGTTTGTAGTTCTGATTCAGAAGACAAAATTAGATAAATAAAATTAACAATCTAACAAAGTGTGATCAGTTTCTTTGTTGCAGTTGTGTAAGAATTTATCCCACATTAATTTGCAGACATGCCTCCTTTCCCTGCTTTGCAAGCAATTTCTGAATCTGCTGTTCAAAGGTGATTTATATGATTTATATATACAGTGTTAAGCTCTGTTAATTTTATCTCTTATACATATCTTTAATTATGGATGAAATTAAGTGCAGTCATGAAGCAGATGAAAAGTATGGTGATGCCATGAACTGGGATGAACTTGAATTTGGAGTAATTCCAACAGATTACATGTACATTATGAAATGTCCCAATGGGGATAACTTTTCACAAGGCCACCTAGCTCCCTATGGGAAAATTGAGCTTAGCCCATTTTCTGGAATCTTGAATTATGGACAGGTTATACATTAACTAGTCACAATTTAATAATAGGTTCGAAGTATTGAAGCTTGTAGTTCTAGTGGTTAAAAGTATTTAACCCTACACGGTGGTGTCATCAGGGAGTATTAGAAGGTCTTAAAGCGATCAGGACCAAAGACGGTCATGTTCAGCTGTTCCGGCCTGAAGAGAATGCTCTAAGAATGAAGATGAGTGCAGAGAGATTGTGCATGCCATCTCCATCTACTCACCAATTCCTTGATGCTTTAAAGCAAACTGTCCTTGCCAACAAGCGTTGGGTATACACATTTTCACTTTAGACCCTTTACTTTTGGAATTTACAACGTTACTACTTAATTTTCAATACTGTTTCACAGGGGTGTTTATGAATTCTGAAATCTTTTTTCGATCACTTGGAAATATATGCATGCATTGGTACCACCTGAAGGGAAAGGAGCATTGTATATTAGGCCATTGCTCATTGGAAGTGGCCCTGTTCTTGGCCTAGGGCCAGCACCAGAATACACATTCCTAATATTTGCTACACCAGTTGGTAATTATCACAAAGTAAGTTATCATCAATTGGTTTTAAATTTAACTTTTCATAAATAACTCATCCACATATTACATATTAGGCTAAACTGTAACAATAGTCTGTAAGTTATATCCGAGTTGCATTCTCGTCCATAATCTTCAAAAATAGTTACAGTAGTCCTCTAATTAGGCGCCGATGAGTTGCACCAATAGTAATTTCCTTCATGTATGTTAGTTTTTCTGCTAATTTGTTTCATATCAATTTTGTTTTTCTCATACTTTGAGGCGCCCACCATATTTTGAAATGTTGTCTTCTAATTAAAACGACAATTGATTTTGTGCATGTAACAATAGCGTGGCTCCACCATGAATTTGTACATAGAGAATGAGGTTCGAAGGGCCACACCAGGAGGAACTGGAGGCGTCAAAAGCATTACCAACTATTCACCTGTAAGTAAAACACGCGACTTGCATAATGAAAATGGATAGGACTTGGAATTTGGGACATGGGAAAAAACTTTTTTTATTTTTATTTTAAAGATTAGACCTTATTGGATTAATCTAAATTATTTTTGTTTTTGCTCCAATCCAATTTGCAATACACAACAGGTTTTTGAAGTAGTGACGAAGGCTAGGGCCAAAGGGTTCACTGATGTCCTGTTTCTGGATGCAGCCACTGGAAAAAATATCGAGGAGGTTTCTTCATGTAATATTTTCTTTGTGAAGGTATTATTGATGACACTTTTTTAGGGTTTGTTGTTGGTTTTTGTTTTTGTTTTTGTTTTTTTTTTTCTCTTGTTTCATATTGCATGTTCAAGTAACTTTCTGGGTTGTTAAAATGTTTTCAAAACAGCGAAAGGAAATAATAGCATAAAGAATGGTTTTCTTATCAATCGGTATGACATGTTATATTGTTGGATCGTTCATATAAACGCTCTTGATGGTTAAAAATTGCATTCACAGTCTCACAACCTATCATGTGGGACTATAACAAAACAAGAGTTATCTAGCAAGTATGTGATGAACAATTTTTTTTCATCAGTCTGACAATTTTTTTCACTGCTGTAGGATAATGTGATTTTAACTCCACGTACCAGTGGAACTGTGCTTCCAGGGGTCACAAGAAAAAGCATCATAGAAATTGCTCGTGATCTGAATTACCTGGTAACCACCCCTTGTTTTCCCCAAAGCATTATATTACTGCTTGGCTTGAAAAGCGATTCCATAATTGTGATTTATAGCAACCTCTAAAAGCATGTTTTTTAAAAATTGGTTAACGTGGAGGAACGTGATGTTCCACTAGAGGATGTGTTGGCTGCCGATGAAGTTTTCTGTACAGGGACTGCAGTGGAAGTCACTGCTGTTGCTAGTATAACACATCAAGATAAAAGGTAGATACATGTGTTTGAGAATGTTTTTGGTTTTGTCAAAAGCGTTTTTAATTATCTTTGACGAAAATAAAGTAGTTTGTTTGAGAGTGTTTTTAGATAGTACTTCTGAGTTATAAAAACAAGCATTTCCGAGTGATTTTCGACATGCTTCTAATAAAAGCACTTCCAGTAAACGTGTTTTAGTACATCGAAATGGTTCAAATGAAACATATCGACAAAGTACTTGAGTTTTTAATTAACAAAAACACTGCTGAGGAAAAGATTTCCTGCAGGATCGAATACAGAACAGGGGAAGAAATTGTGTTCCACAAACTGCGTGTAGTGCTCAAAGGGATTCAAACAGGTGTGATTGAGGACAAGATGGGCTGGACCATGCTCATTGATTGAACAAGCTAGCTGCTTCATCTCCATATCTCATTGCCAATGAAGCTTCTTCTCTAGCTATGCACACAAAGATGCTCAATTGTTATTGCAAGCACTAAATCTTGTTTTCTTTTTTGTCATAATATTGACTTTAATTTCCACCCTTATTTACAAATAATTGAATCCACAAGTACTAATCTTGTGCATTATTAAACATTACTGGTTCAGAGAAAGTTTATTTCGACATCGATGTGGATTGAGAACAAATGGATTTCTTGTTGCCCTTTTTTTTTCCCAAAGTTCTTTTTTTGGGACAATTCTATGGTTGCTTGAAAACGGGGAGTTGATACTTGAACCAAATTTCTTTGACAAAAAACAAAACTTTGGGAAAAAAAGAGAGAGAAACTGGTTTTTGTTTGAATAACATGCAAAACTCTGCCCATTGACCCAGACAATCTGCCTCAACCAATCAGAACTTGCCACATGAATAGAAAGAAAGATGATATATTCAATCTAAAATCAATTGGCAATGGGTAGAGAACCAAGATCTTTTAAACTACTAAGGCAAGACTTTCATTTCCGATATGAGATAACACTCTCAACATGAATCCATGACAAGAATGATGACTGTTCATTTTATATTGTTGCAGGCTTGCAAGATGATTTTCAACATGAATCCATGTCAAGATGACTGTAACACTCTCAACATGAATCCATGTCAAGATGATTTTCAACATTGATTTCCAGGCTAAGATTTGGAGCGATGCCTTCTGCTAATTTGCAAACAACTTCTAAATCTATCCAAAGGCAATTCACTAATTGTTAATTAAATCTAGACCACTTTTTATTGGACCTTTTTAATTTTGTGTCTTGGATATTAATTCTTTCTTTCTCCATGAAAATTTATAGCCATGATGCAGGGGAAGAGTATGCTGATGTCAACTGGGATGACCTCAAATTTGGGGTAATTCCAACTGATTACATGTACACCATGAAATGTTCCAAAGCCAAAGGAGATGACTTTTCACAAGGATATCTCACTCCCTATGGAAACATTGAGCTCAACCCATCTGCGGGTGTATGTTGTTGCATCCAGCTGTGTTTCTAGCTAGCTGGCTTTTATGTGACATGTTCTTAATATATGGTGTGCCATGATCAGGGCTTATATGAAGGTCTTAAGGCGAACAGGACAGAAGACGGCCGGTTTCTGCTCTTTAGGCCTGAACTTAATGCTCTAAGAATGAAGATGGGTGCAGAGAGATTGTGCATGCCATCTCCTTCTACTCAGCAATTCATTGATTCTATAAAGCAAACAATCCTAGCCAACAAGCGTTGGGTATTGACATTTTCACTTTGGACCCTGCACTTCTGGAATTTACAATTCAACTACTTAGTTTTCGATATGATTGCACCAGGTATATTACAATTCAACTACTTTTACCAATCGATATTGATACCGAAACTCAGTATATAAGTGCACAACATGTTATAAAATCCATTTTATTTATGAACCTACAAAAACTCCTATACCTACCTTTTATTACTCAACAATGCACTAGAACTACTCACCGTACTATTTAGACCCAAATTGTGTCAGTTGCAAGTAATGATGAACTTAAATGTTTTGAAGTCCTCTGCTATTACTACAATTAGTGTGCAAATCCAAGCCATCCATTACAGTGAAGTCAAGTGGGGATATTGACTGAATGGTTGAGATTAGTGCATCTCAAGAACTGAAGTTGAATTAAATTAGACAGGTAGGAGGGAAATTGAGCTAAGACGCCAACTGCAAAGCAGGACTAGTTTTTATATGTAAAACCATAAGGCGCAAACACAGCAGCAGGCAGGCACTGAAGAAGCTTCACGCATTGCTGTCTCGTAGCAGAATGGGAGCCATTGCCTTTGCCCCCACAGCAGCAAGTTATTTCCTACTGTTTTCTACGAAAATATTGTGCAGAAATGGAAGGCTTAGCATGATCTCATATATCTCGCTTCTCCCTCACACATTTCTCTTTGCTAAGGACAAACCACAACAAAACAATTGACTGAGCACTTCAAAGCACATCTCCTTTGCTAATACAGATTAACTTGATCTGCTCCAGTGCCTAGGCTAATACAGGCAGCCCAAATAGTTTGAATAAGACCCCCAGCACACATGACAGTGCCACAATTCACAAATACCACAGGGTCAGAAAAATTACAAAAGCAAATTCATGCATTTGTGTGTAGTGTACAGAACACACAAAGGGGAAAGCTTTATAAAACACTAAATTAAGATACCAATATATCATAGTGACTCGAAGCAATCTATCAATCAGAACCTGAAGGAACTAGGATGCTACTTAACTAACTTGTAGACCTTGCAGCCGAGGACTTCGTCGCAGTGGAAGCTGCCATTATGAGTGCCTCGCTTAGCTGAAGTAGCGGTAGCCATGAGAGAGCGAGAGAGGTGAAGGCGCAGGTGATGGTGTGGCTCGGGAAGATGAATGGTAGCGTGTGCTTAAACCCTCGCTTTCCACTTTTAACACTTTGGCCCTGTCGTTTCAAGTTGGTAAATATAGTTGTGGAGGGGCAGTTCAGTCCACAAACAGCAAAGTCTGCGTGCTTAGGTCTGCGTTTAATGGCAGTCGACCTAGTATAAGGGCCATGCATGCAGTGCAGGGTATCTAACAAGATTTTCAAGCTCTGCATCTTCATCCAGGAAGATAGTATACTTGTCTGCAAGTTATCTTTTTCGGATGGTGATTGTGTTATGGAGGGTAGGGAATTCAGCATTTTAGTATGTTGTTGTAGGGCCTCCCTCTGATGACATTGGCAAGTTATTGCTCACTGTAACTGGTTCTGCCACGAATGCATGTTTTTTTCCTTGAGAGAATTGCCTGCTTGGTTGGCACTGGCAGAAACTGACTGAAATAGATTGGGATCAACGTCAGTTTGCTTATTTCAAGTGTTTTAATTGCTTCTCTCTGTCAAGAAAGAAATGCACCACATGGTTTCTTCCCTAGACTAGAGCGAGGAAATGAATGCAGAAATTATTCACGAACAATGGCTTTCGGGTGGGCGGGCATGATTTCCTATGAGGAATTAGCATCAGGAAGCTATAAGAATATACTATTTTCTGCGGAGGTTTCTGATGATCAGGCAGTGTTGGAAAAATCGGCCTAGGTGGGGACTAGGCGCTGGGCGGCCGCCTAGGCGGCCTAGGCGGCCTGGGAGGGTCTGACCCAGAAAGAAAATGCCATTTTGGAATGTCCAAGGTCAGGGACTAGATGATGATGAAAGAATATATTATTTTCTGCGGAGGTGTCTGATGATCAGGCAGTGTTCGAAAAATCGGCCTAGGCGGGGACTAGGCGCTAGGCGGCCGCCTAGGCGGCCTGGGCGGGTCTGACCCAGAAAGAAAACGCCATTTTAGAATTTCCAAGGTCAGGGACGAGATGATGATGGTGGCTCAGATTTTGGGGTGGCGAGATGAGGATTGAAAAAGATGAGAAGTCGCGGGGAGGGCTGGAAGACGGCTCGTGTTAGACTTGGGCCTCAGCTCGTGTTGATGAGAAAAACAGAAGGAGAGACGGGCTTTCAAGGCGTGGCCAGGCGGAGCAAGGCGTGCAGATCTGGACACTTCTGAAGCGGAAGAAATTTTGGGAGTCTGCAAATTGGCTCTGCGAGGAAGACGACTCGCGTGTGTTTTTTTTTTCTCGAAGGTTTATTATAATGAAACGACGTCGTTTCGATTGCAGTGTTTTTAAAAACAACTTAAAGTGAAAGGATGTCGTTTCACTTGGAGTGTTTGAAAACACGCAAGTTTATTTTTTTCTTTTTTTTCTTTTTTTTTTTCCCTTACCTTAACTTAACGCAAGTAGACTTAATATCTTTCTTGCCCTTTCAACAAGAAGACTCTCTGTCAATGAACAAAATTATTGGTACTATATATATATTGTATAGTACAAACCTAATTTCTCTCTCTCTCTCTCTCTCTCTCATCTGCATATTCTGTTAAGAAGTGTTTGTTCATTTTTCTGAATCTACTTTTAAGTTAATTATTTTTGTAGTTTTGATTCAGAAGACGAAATTAGATAAATAAAATTAATAGTAAATTGAGCTAAGACTCATAAAATTCATTTTAAATCACCTACAACACTTCCCTTTATTTTTATATTTAAAATACCTAATTTTTTCAAATAATATCCAATGACTAGAATCCAACTAAGCAAGTTATCTAATATAACTTAAAATCTGATTTATTATATTTTTCGGATTCCAAAACTACCTATAGTTATAAGTTAATGTGTTATTGGGGGTGTAACTAATGACACACCGTTGAATTTTGAAAGATCTTCAAATAGTTGTAATGGATGTAGGAATTAATTTAGAAACTTATTTGAAATTAAATATTAAATTCAACATTAACGTATTAATAATCTATAGGTGATTAACGTTTTGGTTTATTTAATTAAAAAAATTATGTTGTTTTCCTTATGAATAATAGTGTACATTCTAATAATGTTGAAAAATAATTTGATAATCCATTTATTGTTTTTTTTTAACTTTTTTTTTAAGTGAACCTATTTTTGTCTCTAAATAATGTACATTTTTTTCTCTAAATAAAGCACCTATTACTTGTTTTATGAAAAATAATTTGATCATCTTTTTATTGTTTGTTTTATGAAATCAATTTTTTTTTTAAACGAACCTATTTTTCCTATCCAAATAATGTTTTTTCCTTCTAATAATGCACCTAGTAAAACAATTTACCTAGTATAATGAACCTATTGTCTCACTAAATTTTGTATCTATTTTTTTTCTTCTAATAAGTGCAGTCGTGAAGCAGATGAAAAGTTTGCTTATTGTTATGGCAATTCCATCTTCCTTCGCTTATTGTTACTTTTTTTTTTCTCTTGTTTCTCTATCTTTTGTCTCTTAAAACTGATACAAACAAACCTAACCATCTCTGGTTCACCTAAAGCTTTTGTCACAGCAAGATTATGGAAGAAAAATACCCATTTTCATTTCAACTGAGCCATGAATCAATGTGTACAATGTACTTAAATACAGTTTAATTGTTTATTATATGCCTTAATAATAATGCATAATAGTGTGCAATGTACCTAACAGCAGCAAAAAGAGTAGTTTGAGAAGTCAAATAAACCAATTTATTTAAAAATCTATATATGTAAAGCAAAAGGCAGAGAATGGTGAAACATTCAAAATACCAGAAAATGCCCTTGGTTAATTCAAACATTGAAAATTGAAAATATTAATTAAAAGAGGATAATATGGTAAATTCACATTTTTTATATTTAAAAAAATTAAAATTAAAAACAAATAAGATAATAGGTCCTACTTTTATGGAACACTAGCCCCTTGGCACATGCTCACGCATGTGCCAATTGGTTTTATTTTTCATTTTTTGTATTTTATTTTTAGAATTTAAAAAAAGATAATATGGGTAGTTATGTTCCATAAAAGTAGGACCTATTATCTTATTTGTTTTTAATTTTAATTTTTTTAAATATAAAAAATGTGAATTTACCATATTATCCTCTTTTAATTAATATTTTCAATTTTCAATGTTTGAATTAACCAATGTCATTTTCTAGTATTTTGAATGTTTCACCATTCTCAGCCTTTTGCTTTATATATATAGATAACTACTCATATTATCTTTTCTTCATTCTAAAAATAAAATTTTTAAAAAAAAAAAACCAATTGGCACATGCTCCAAGGGGTTAGTATATATTATATTTTATAAGAGCATCTCCAAGGGAGATGTCAAATACCAAACATCAAATTTAAATTTGATGGTTGATGTGGCAATTTGACATTTACACAGTTTTACACTCCACTCGATATGTCAAATAAATAATTATTGTAACAGTCAAATCATTTAAGATAAAGAAGAAAAAAAATATATAAATGAAAATAATAAATGAAAGTAACAACCAACTATCTTTAAAAATAATAAAATATTCATTTTGACATCTTGCTTTTGGGATGTCAAAAATAACATCTCAACCTCCAGCATTCATTCCACATCAACTTTGACACATCGGTTGGAGTGATGTGAGATGTTATTTCTAACCGTTAAATGTCTATGTGACACTTTTGACACATCGGTTAGAGATGCTCTAAGAACCCTGAAATAAGGTCAGTTTTTGACTTCTAGGCTTTCTCAAAAGTCCTAATCTATAAGAAAAAAGGATACAGGATTTTGGAAAGAGAAAGGGTTACATGAGTTACTTAATTCTAAATGTCCCAAAAAGGGGAAAAAAACAAGACAGGAAGAGACAGTCTCCTAGCCAAAATTGATAGATTATTATTGTTTCATAATTAATAATTACAGCTAATTACTTATTTAATAGTGTATTTGAAATTATCATTTTCATAGCTGTAATTAAAACAAAAATAAAACAAACATACAGTAAGGTTTATAAGATATATAAGAAAAGCATTCATAACCTGCTTGCATTATCTCCTCCCCAGTTTTTTTGTCAGCAGTCTCCAGTTCGTACGTATCATACAATCTCTCACCCTCTATCTCACAATGTTTGTTCATTTTCTTCTGAATCTACATTTAATTATTCATTTCTATATTTCTGATTCCTTTTCTTTTGTAGCACAATGATATTCCATCATATATATATATATATTTGATTTCTTTTTCTTCTTCCAATTTATTTTTTTTTATTATAAATATTTTAG